GGACACAAAAAAAAATAATAATAATGACAGAAGTAAATAATGGGGATTATTTTGGAGTAGAAACTAGTGGCGGGTGAAAGGAGAAAATGAATATGATTGAAGTATTTTATACACATGTATGAAGATAGAATAATGAGTGATAGGATAGGGATGAATAAGAAATAGAAGGTATTTCCATACATGTGCATGTATGGAAATACCATAATGAGGACTCTTGTACAATTATCATATGCTAATAAAAAATAAACAGCAGGTATTTTCGATCTACTCAGTAAAATGTTGTAGGCCACAGGACAATGTCTTGATCAAATACGATTTATCTGTGATACCATGGCTCTACAGATACTGTACTTGCATTTCTCTGAGTCCTTAGTGCTAGCTATGTGCCAGCTACTGTGCCTTAGCACTGGAGCCTCCAGAATTATCGTATTACCTTTAAGAAAGAAGTGAACCAGCCAGGTGCCAGTGGCTCATGCCTGTAATCCTAGCTACATAGAAGGCTGAAATCTGGGGATCACGTTTCAAAGCCAGTCCAGGCAGGAAAGTCCGTGAGACTCTTATCTCTGATAAATCACCAGAAAACCAGAAGTGGCGCTGTGGCTCAAGTGGTAGAGCGCTCGCCTTGAGCTGAAGAGCTGAGGGACAGCGCCCAGGCCCAGAGTTCAGGCCCCACGACCAGAAAAAGAAAAAAAAAAGGAAGTGAACCATTCAGTGGCGAAAGCCATGTCATGTACGTACCCTTAAGCAGGAAGGAAGTCAGAGTGAACAGTGTCCCTACTCATCCTCCACAGCCTTACAAGCCACGCTTTTCGTGCGACATCCAGAAACAGGAAAGCTGCTGGTCAATTTTGATCCCAAAATTTTGGAAGTTGTTCGGGAAACCAAATGTATGATCAAGATGAAGTTGGATGTTCCCGAACAGGCAAAGAGATTGTTAAAATTGGAAAGTAAATTGAAAGCAGACAAACTATATTTGCAGGTAAGATAGATGGAGTTTTCTGATTATTTTTTAAAAGAGGATTTTGTTGTTGTTGTTGTTGTTGTGTGTTGTTGTGTGTATCCCTACAGGTATGCTGACATGAAGAGGAAGTTTGTCATGATGTTGATTCTTTTTTATGTTATGGGGCTTGAACTCGGGGCCTGGGCACTATCCCTGAGCCTCTTTGTGCACAAGGCTAGCACTGTACCACTTGAGGATGTTGATTCTTGACAGACATAAAATGCTGACTTTCAAATACAGGAAAGACTAGAGGTGGAAAGTAGGAAGGGAGAAGAGCATTAGACTTACTCTTAGACTTCTGGACAATAAATGAGAGGATAGTGATTTTGAAAAAGGTGTTCATAATTTTAAGGACTAAGTAGATTAAATTTAATAATGTATTTAATACTTGAGTACTAATAAGATAAAAGTTAAGAAAGAGGCTGGGTGCTGGTGGCTCATACCTGTAATCCTAGCTACTCAGGAGGCTGAGATCTGAGGATTGTCAGTCTGTGCAGGAAAGGTCCATGAGACTCTTATCTCCAATAAACCACCATAAAACCAGAAGTGGTGCTGTGGCTCAAGTGGTAGAGTGCTAGCCTTCAGCTAAAGCACTGAGGGGGACAGTGCCCAGGCCTGGAGTTTAAGCCCCGTGACTGACAAAAAAAACAAAGAAAGCATGCATGGAAAGCATTCTTCAACATTGTGGAATAGGGGGATATTCCCATGCCAGTTTACTAGTGGCCAGACTAAAATTCAAAGAAAAACAACAACAACAGGGAAAATGGTTTTAAAAAAAAAGTGACATTCAAGCCAGGTGCAGGTGGCTCACACCTGTCATCCTAGCTACTCAGGAAGCTGAGAGCTGAGGCTTGAAGTTCAAAGCCAGCCCAGGCAGGAAAGTCCGTGAGACTCTTAACTCCAATTAACCACCAGAAAACTGGAAGTGGTGGTGCTGTGGCTCAAGTGGTAGAGCAGTAGCCTTGAGCTGAATTGCTTAGGGACAGCGCCCAGACCCAGAGTTCAAGACACATGACCGACAAAAAAAAAAAAAAAAAAAAGTGACATTGTAGAAGATGAATCAAAATATCTTCAAATCCTAACACACAGTTTCTATGAAGAGAGTGTAAGTACAACTAGGATTCTTTAGAATAGCAGTTCAAACAGTAAGATGTAGTGCGTCACAGGTGGCTCAGGCCTGTAATCCTAGCTACCCAGGAGGCAGAACTCTGAGGATTGTGCTTCAAAGCCACCCTGGACAGACAAATCCATGACTTTTATTTATTTATTTAAGTTAATTAATTAATTAGCTAATTAATTAATTTTTTCCGTCATGGGGCTTAAACTCTGGGCCTGGGTGCTCTTCCTCAGCTTTTCAGCTCAAGGTTAACACTCTGCCACTTGAGCCATAACACCACTTCTGGTTTTCTGGCAGTTAATTGGAGATAAGAGTCTCATGGACTGCCCCAGCTGGCTTTGAACTATGATCCTTAGATATCAACTTCCTGAGTAGCTAGGATACAGGTGTGAGCCAGCGGCGCTTACCTCCAATTAAACAGCAAAAAGCCAGAAGTGGAGGTGTGGCTAAAGTGATAGCACACTAGCATTGAGCGGAAAAGCCAAGTGAGAAAGTTATACCCTCTGTTTAAGCCCCAGTACTGGCACAAAAGTAAAAGCAACAAACCCTACTAATCTCAGCATTCTTTGGGTTCTTTTTTTTTTTTGGGTCCGGTCGTGGGGCCTGAACTCTGGGCCTGGGTGCTGTCCCTCAGCTCTTTAGCTCAAGGCTAGCGCTCTACCACTTGAGCCACAGCGCCACTTCTGGCTTTTTTCTTTTTACTTATGTGGTGCTGAGGAATGGAACCCAGGGCCTCAGGCATGCAAGGCAAGTGCTCTACCACTGAGCCACCTTCCCCGCCCTTCTTTGGGTTCTTCAAGTTGGCTGTAGACATATATTTGGGATGTATAAGAAGACATATAAGTACAAGAATGTTCTTTTCAGCATTACTGGCAACAGTAAAAGATGAATCTGAATCCAACAGTAGAGAATTGATTAAATATGGGTCATGGAATAAATACAGAACAGTTAATAGAATTGCTGATTACTCAATGAGAAAGATTTCTGTTTGCTCTGATGCAAAGTGGGTTAACTATTTTCATAATCAGTCCTGACATAAGTAAATACAGACTTCTTGTTTCTGGCTAGAAAGAATAATATCTGTCATTTTCAATATGTCACTGTATTTAAGACTCTTGGTTTAATTAAAATCCATGTCTGGGCATAAGGGCAAACAGATAATGAGGGAGTCCTTTTGGAATCAAACACAAATCAAAGACGATTTCAAAATTTTGTCCCATTAGAAATTATAATTTAAAATTAGAGTTATATGTGAATCTAAGGATCAGTAAGGCTAAGAATATTAGAATAGTGATTCCCTCCCCAAAACAGTTCTTTCAGAGTAACAGCTATATTGAAATATAATTCACAAGCCATGCAATTTATCCTCCAAATATATAATTAAATGGTTTTAGTATATCCACAAAGCTTCACATTCAATTTTAGAACATTTTCATCTCCTCTCCCCCAAAGAAATGCCATTTCCATTAGAGTTTGTTTGCCATTTCCCCTCTGTTCTCCCCAAACTCAGCCCTGGAAACTACCTAGGCCCATTGTCTCTGAGGATTTGCCTGTTCTGGACATTCATACACATGGAATTAGGTCATATGTGGTCCTTTTCTTGGATTTTTTTCACAGTTGCTTATTCTATTGTGGATGTAAAGGACTAGCTAATTTATTTAGTTTCGAGAAGCAATTGTGGCCTTAGAGATGAGTAAGTTTTAATGTGTTAGAAGATAATGAAGAAAGGGGAAAATGTATAAGATTCACAAACAGGTAATTATCCCCACAATTTAAAATAAATATGACACCCACCAAGAGAAATAATCAATATGAAAAATGAAAATCCAAGTAGTGCCATTAACTTGTTGTTTAAAGAGAGACTGCTCAGAGAGCCAGGCAACTGGCTGAGATCTGAAGACCACAGTTCAAAGTCAGTCTGGGCAAGAAAGTCCATGAGATTCTTATCTCTAGTTAACCAGCAAAAAGCCAGAAGTAGATGTGTGGTTAAGTGGTAGAGCTCCAGCCTTGAGTGAAAAAGCCAAGCAAAAGTGAGAGACCATGAGTTCAAGCCCCAGTCTTGCATGAAAAAAAAAAGAATGCACAGGTAATTTAGATGTGATGAAAAATATAGTCAATTGGTATAAATTTAAATTAGCATCTCTCTCTTCATGATAGCAAGACTTGAGACAACAGGTATAGTAACATCTTTCTGGTCTGAATAAAAATGTGACTACTGCTGGGCACTAGTAATCCTACCTACTCCGAAGGCTGAGATCTGAGGATTGAGGTTCAAAGCAAGCCCTGGTGAGAAAGTCCTGTGAGACTCTTATCTCCAAATAATCACCAGAAAACTGCAAGTAGTGCAGTGGCTCAAGTGGTAAAGTACTTGCCTTGAGCTGAAGAGCTGAGAGACAGTGCCCAGGTCCAGAGTTCAAGCCCCACCACCGACAAAAAAAAAAAAAAAAGTGACTACTGCCTTTAAGTGAATTAAGGTAATATATACTATTCTACTTTTTTTAAACAGGGTCTTCTGCAGTATTATGATGACCTATGTCAGGAAGTGCCTTCTGTATTTGTTAATCTGATGGCTCCTAAAACAAAACAGGTTGGGAATGTTGAAGTTTTTTTTAATTTTCCTGTTATTTAAAATTAGACTCCGGATCTATATTTTATATGGATTTTGGACCACATAGGCTTGCTTACCCTCTGTCTTTCTAGTTAAACTTCATAGCTCTCATTTTTTCCCCTATAGAACAATTTCTTGTCTATGTTTTGTTGCCTTTGAAAAATAACTTAATCTAAAAAAAATCACAAGCAGTTTCTGAAAATCCACAGTTGGCTTCCAGGACAGCCAATGATGATTTCAAACTTTTTTTATTAGGTGTGTGGGAAAACACAGTTAAGGAAAATTAGCTTGTAAAATTTGTAGCAAATAAGATAAATCTTTTTTTATAAACACAGATACTCTCATTAACAGGGAAGCTGTTATGTTTTACCTATTTTGTTCCCCAGGTGGAGTTTGTGTTGAGGCAGGGTCTCACAGTCCTAACGTGGTCATCTTTAACTCTGGAACGCTTCTTTCATGAAGTTGAGTCTGTTTTGGATATGTTCAATCAACTTTTAAAGAAGGTAAATTGATAAACATTAAAAATCTGAATACAGGGGCTGGGAAGGTGGCTCAGTGGTAGAGCGCTTGCCTTGTATGCCTGAGGCCCTGGGTTCGATTCCTCAGCACCACATAAGCAAAAAGAAAAAAAAGCCGGAAGTGGCGCTGTGGCTCAAGTGGTAGAGCACTAGCCTTGAGCTGAAGAGCTGAGGGACAGCGCCCAGGCCCAGAGTTCAGGCCCCACGACCGGACCCCCCCAAAAAAAATCTGAATACAGTCATATTCAGACTATAAGTATTGATTTGATTAAGGATTGAAGTTTTTTAATGAGTATGATTTTTTTAAACAAACATCCATTAGTTAAAAAGTAATGTTTTTGGCTTCTTTTGCTGATTTTAGTCTATCTTTTTCTCTGTGGGGGTGGCGAGGAGAGCATGTATCCTTGGGCTTGAACTCAGGGCCTTGTGCTCTTGCTTGCTTTTTTCACTCAAGTCTAATGTTCTACCCCTTGAACCACAGCCTCGTGTTCAGCTTTTTTTCTTTTTTAAACTTCTGGCTTTTAGTTGGCTAATTAGAGATATGAATCTCAAAGGCTTAAGTGTCAGCCACCAGTGTGCAGCCACTGATTTGGGTTTTTTTCATCTAAGTTGTCTTGTGCTTACTCCTGAATTACTACCTCTGCCTTCAATATGATAAAATGATGGCTCAGTTCCAACCTATAGTTTACAAAACAAGCTGATTGCAGGGTGTTGAAGGCGGAAAAGTAGAGTGTTTAAATATTATTATGAAGGCACTTAATGTTAAGTAGGTGAGGTGTTAGTGTAATGGGAGACACTGTCTATTATTTTCTGACATGTTTGCTGCATAGACCATGCATATTTTTTTTGTTGTTGTTGTTGGTCTTGGGGCTTGCACTCAGGGCTTGGGCGCTGTCCCTGCGCTCTTCAGCTCAAGGTGAGCGCTCTACCACTTGAGCCACAGCGCCACTTCCGGTCTTCTAGTGGTTTTAGTGGAGATAAGAGTCTCACGGACTTTCCTGCCCAGGCTGGCTTTGAACCGTGATCCTCAAATCTCAGCCTCCTGAATAGGATTGCAGGCGTGAGCCACCGGCGCCCAGCTCGTGCATATGTTTTTAAATGCACTCATCTGTCTGTCATTGTATCAGCATGTTAAAGACAAACTCTGAATCAAATAAATGCCCAGAGGATCTGCCTTTCCTAGCTGTGTTCCTCTCTAGGTTACTTGACTTCTCTGAGCCCTGGTGTCTTTCTCTACAAAGCCAGGTTATTGATGCTTCCTTTTCTGGAAGGAGGATCAGAGGATCACATGCAGGAATACAGTATGAGGTGATTGGCGTGTGGCTGCTCAAGGAAACATATGTTGCATGCCAAGCGTTCTTGATACACGTATTCCTAAAACTTGACCAAATTATGCTTGACTCAAGATACAACTTCCCAGATCTAGTCTCCTACATCAATTTATTCTTCTTCTATATTTTGGGTACAAAGCTAGTGCTAAAGGATAAAAGGATTATTGATTTGGATTTTGTTGTTGGTAGGTCAGTGACTTGTGTGAAATGCATATTGATACAGTTCTCAAGGAGATAGCCAAAACTGTGTTGATATCTTTGCCTGAAACTGGGGCTACCAGAGTAGAAGATATGCTGACACTCAATGAGGTATGCAATATAATCATATTATAATCACAGAAGTACTAAGCTACAAAATGAAAATGTGAATTATTTACTTTTAAATTTATTTTTATTTATTTATTTTGTCAGTCATGGGGCTTGAACTCTGGGCCTGGTGACTGTCCCTGAGCTCTTTTTTGCTCAACACTAGTACTCTACCACTTTGAACCACAGCACCACTTCTGGTGGCTAATTGGAGATGAGCGTCTCATGGACTTCCCTGCCCAGGGTTGGCTTTGAACCAGATCTTAGCCACCCACTCTGCTGGTTTGAGTCACCATGCTGGGTCTTTTTTGATAGGTCTGAGGATGGCTCCTTTCCCAGGGGTGCAGTCTGGTTGCATCCATTTAATTTCTTTTGGCCTATTCATAACAAAATCATTTTCTTGCGGTGTGTATTTATAACTGTGTTGACACTACAGATTGCTAGGAGAGGAAGTCTACACTACAGGAGAGAACTTGTATTGAGTACAAATGAACAAAGATAATTATATGCATAGATAAACAGACACACAAAAGAAGGAAATTGGGGTAAAGTGTGACTGGGTGGGAATGTGGCATTTTTATCGATAGCACAAGGAAAAAACCCCACATGATTATTATTGGTAAGTCAAGATTGGGGACACAGGGGGAGGTTATTGTTGTTTGTTTTAGTTCTAGTTTTTTTCCTATCACAACCCAGCCTCTTGTTCTTGTTTGGCTTTTTTACTCAAGGCTAGTGCTCTAACACTGGAGACACAGCTCCACTCCCAGGTTTCTGCTGGTTAATGGATAAGATCTTCATGGACTTTCTTGCCCAAGTTGGCTGTGCACAGCCATCCTCAGATTCTCCCAGATTAGCTAGGATTACGGATTTGAGCCACTAGCGCCTCCTGTGGCAGAATTTTGGAGAGCACCTTTGTTGCATTCATTTCCCCTGAGTGACCTAAGAATTAGGTCTGTCTTCCCACAAATTTACCATCAGATGGTTCATTGTAGTGAGTGCAAGCTTCCTGTGATGCAGAGAAGGGCAGAGGAGAGAAAATGGGGCGGCATGAATCGGAGAATGACACCTTAGAAGTGTCTGACAAAGTGGCCTCAAGGGGGAGAAGCAAGGATTGTCTATAGGTTTCTAAATTAAAGTTATGGAAATGCTTTTCAGTTATCTTGTTCACTGCTCCCGCCCTCTATTTTCCTTCCTTCTGCTTCCATGGATGAGGTGTCCCATTTTGTATCTGAAACATTACGCCCCTGGCAACGATTTTCATTAATTTACTCATTAATTCGTGTATTGATGGGCTGGGGATGGAACTCCGGGCCTGGAACAGCGGGGTAAGTGCGCTACCGCAGATCTGTCTCAGCCCCTCTAGTTATTTTCAGGTGAAATTAATTAGAGTTTTATAAATTAAAGTCTGTTTGATAATTTCCTAGAGTTTTTAGGTATCTGAAAGTTAAGTCACATTCGTTTGTTTAATAGACATGCACAAAAGAATGGGCTGATATTCTAAACCACAAAAGTCGGCACGTGGAAGAAGCTGTCAAAGAGCTTATATTAATATTTGAGCAACTTTATGAAGTTAAATACACGGGGAAAGGAGTAATAAAAAAGTTACCAGGTAATTTCACTACTTAATGTGTAAGTCACACGAGCTTCAGATAAGTCCTCATGTAGATGCCCTCAGCTTTAGCAGATAACAAAATTGCAGATTCACTGGAAGAAAAGGGCTGGTTAGCATAAACTACTATGCTGTTGGTACTAATTGCTCAGGGAGCACTTTTTGTCAACTGCAACATAGTGAGGACCCTTCTGAAAGCCAAGTTCCTCAGTGCCAACAGGAGACAATCCCCATTTCTATGGATAGCAGTTTCAGGCTTGCTCTGCCTGCCTGCTTGCCTGCCTGTCTGCCTCCCTCCTTCCCTTCCTTCCTTTTTCTTTCCTTCTTTCCTTTCCTGCCTTCCCTTCCTTTTGCTTCTGTCCTCAGCATTCTAATCCCAACCCTTTGACTGTGTGATTGATTTTACTTTTTTTTTTTCTTTTTCCATAATACTGGGGTTTGAACCCAGGACCTTGTGCTTGCTATGTAAGTGCTCTCCCATTGAGTCCACACCCCCAGGCAATTTCATTCTTTTCCCCCCCTCAAACTAGCCAGGCATGAGTAAAATCTATAATTGTTACAAATCTAGAAAGCTTAATTTGGGTGAAACTATCTTTTAAAAATACCTCCTGCCCACTCTAGATTTTTCTCTGAATGAAATGACCTGTATATCCCTTCTTAGAACAGTTTTGAGGTTCGGGGTATAGGTAAATAAGTGGGGCCTAGATGAAAAGTGTACTCTTAGGGAAGCAAAGATCTCAGCACGAGCGGCCCTCCATTTGGGAGATTCCCAGGGAGAATGAGTGAAGAATATCCTAAAGAGTGTTTTGTCACCCTAGTTCAGTTTAACTGGAAGAAATGTCCGCATCATACCCTCTGTTGAAGCAAATCTGTATCACAGAGTACCTGGATTGTTTAAAGACAAGGGGCCATTTCCACCTTTCTGCATTTCCTCTTCTCCCCACCGCAGAATCTCACTTTTCTACCTAAGAGAGTCCTAGATTCCTATCATTTTAGTAAATACATGTAATAAGCACAAGAGATAAGCTGCTGAATTTGAACTCTCAGTATCAGGGGTGGGGAATTTGAAGAAAATATTTCTCTAGCAGGGGAATTGATTTATTTCCCTGTGTCCTAGATTAGGGTTTTGAACGTGAAACTTTTCATTTTGTTCAGATTGTCCTACTCTTAGAATTTTTTGGCCAAATTTGAAGAAGACTTGTTTGGAATCAAATATTGAAATTTGTTTTCAAGCTCTAAAGCAGAGCCAATTAAGTAAATAATTGTAGTTGAAGGTTTTCCTTGTTATTATAAGGGGATGTGTCTGTCACTCAGAGCCCTGCTTGCCCAAATATGGGCTTTCCTACTATCCCCTGCCCAGGGACAGTGTGAGGTGGCATCTTACTGGATTCTGTGATAGAGGGGTTTCCAAGGACATGAGAGAGGAGTTGGCTTTGCTACCTGCAAATGTGAGGGCACCTGTTGAGAGCTAGCTTTCGTAGTGAGAAGAGAACATTTCAGTCAAGCAGATAATCCCATGAAAGTGACATTGTAAGAAGAGAGAGAGAGACAGAGAGGGGGAGAGAGAGAGAGAGAGGAAGAGAAGGGTACCTGTGCCTTGAAAAGTATTTCTCAGTGTGGCAGCAGGAAGGACAGTTGGTGGCAATATTTGGGGACTTTTTTTAACGTGAGCTTCCTAATAAGAAGAATTAGCCATATAAAATAAAACTTAATCCTAAAAAATGAATCAAGTGTCACTATTTTGGTCTTCTATTTGTAGAACAACGGAAACGTGTTGTTTTTGGAAACGACACAGAAGAGGCGGACAACAACGAGTACGATGAGATGGTGAAGGAAGTGGATAGCAACGACAAAGAAGATGAATTTAAGAAGGTCATTCTTTTAGATGGGACACCCACGTGCAATTTTGCAGAGTTATGACTCAAAGGGGGCTTTTCTTAAAAAAGAATTTTAAAAATTGTTATTATAAAGGTGATGTACAGAAGGGTTACAGTTACATAGGTCAGGTATTGAGCACATTTCTTTCTTTCTTTCTTTTTAATCTTTTTTTTTTTTTTTTTTGGTGGGTCTCGGGGCTTGAACTCTGGGCTTGGGCGCTGTCCCTGCACTCTTCAGCTCAAGGCAAGCACTCTGCCACTTGAGCCACAGCGCCACTTCTGGTTTTCTAGTGGTTTATTGGAGATAAGAGTCTCACGGACTTTCCTGCCCAGGCTGGCTTCGAACCTCAACGCTCAGATCTTAGCCTCCGAGTAGCTAGGATTACAGGCGTGAGCCATTGGCACCCGGCTATAGTACATTTCTTTTTGGACAATGTCACCCCTTCCCTTCCCTTGTTCTCTCTTAGTTTTTCCCTCCCATCCCTGCCGACAAGTTATATAGTACCTTTTCCATATAGTGTGCAGTGCGTACTGCTGCTGCATTTTTCACCCTTTGTCCCTCCATTCCTGTGTCCCTCCTCCCTTCCCTTACCTCTCCAAAGACAGATAAATGAACAAACAAGAAAAAAAGAAACTCTGGTTTCCATTTCTTGGAATTCATTTCGGTAAATAGACTTTTATACGATCTGAGGCATTGCGCCTTTGTGTCCCTCAGGGGGGTTGTGTGTAGGCAGGCGTGTAACCAGTCCCTGTCTCATTTAGAGCAGAAGCCAGAGAATTACATGTTTCCACTTTACACTGCAGGACAGGCAGAATCCAGCAGTCTTTGCAGGTTTCCAATAGTGTGGACTTGAGACATGATTCTGCCCATTGTGGATTACACAGTCTTCCCTTGTGGTGACTCACCTTGCTCTATCTATCTATCAATCAATCAATCTGTCTCTCTGTCTATTTTCTGCTGGTCCTGGAGCTTGAACTCAGGCCTGGGTACTGTCCCTGAGTTTTAGTGTTCAAGGCTAGCACTCTACCTCTTGAGCTACAACTCCACTTCCAGACTTTCCTGCCTGGACTGGCTTTGAACCCTGATCCTCAGATCTCAGCCTCCTGAGTAGCTAGATTTACAGGCATGAGCCACTGGTGCCCGGCTTCCATTTTTCTTTTTCTTGGAAGTACTAGGGTTCCGATTCTTGTACTTGCTAACTAAGCAGCACTCTACCACTTGAGTTATGGCCCAGTTCTTTTGCTTTTTTTTTTTTTTAAGCTTTCCCCCCTCCTCAGTAGAGTCTCATGAGTTTTGCTACATACAGGCTGGTCTTGGGCCAAAAAGCTCTGCCTCCCAAGTAGCTGGGACCGCAGGTGTGTGCCATCACACCCAGCTTCCTCCTCTCAGTTTTCATCCATTAGACTCACTTTTCCTTCTTTCTCTGTTCGACTCACTTTTTGCATGTTCTTCTAGGGTTTTTGAAATGAAGACTACACATACGTTCTCTTTTTGCCTTGTTGCACACAGAGGACTGGGAACCACTGTTTTGCAGATTAGCCCTAGATTCCATTCCACAACCTGACCGCCCTGGGGGTTGCCTGGGGAGGAACTGCTCTTCCATTTAGCAGTCCCTCTCTTGCTATTGCTTCTTCTTTGGGTAGTGCTGGGCTCCGTAGAGCAAGACCCAGAGCCATGGAGCCCCTCTCACTGGGGCAGTCACTTGGCGCTGCATCAGGGCAGTTCCAGGTGCCTGTTTAATCCAGCTCCCACGTTTTATTGCCAGAATGGTCTCTCTGACATTACAATCCAATTGAGGCTGTGCTTTAGCTCCCTAATCCCTCTGCCCTGACCAAATTGAAAAGCTTGATATTTTTTTGGTTCTGTTTATTCTGACCCAGCTCAACCTGATTCTCCTGCCAACCTTAAGGGGCCAGTAGTGTGGCCCTGGGTGTGTGACTCACCGTGCTGGGGGGTGAGCGGCAGGGCCTGGGGTGGCAGTGCAGTGCAGGTGGCTGCTTGGCAGTGCAGCACTTACCTAGCAAGTGGAAGGCCCTGGGCTTCATCCCTACCGCCTTCCCCATACACAAGAGAAAGACTGGAGTTCATCCATACCTACCAGCCTCAGTGTCTCTTCTGTGCTCTTGATCCTCCCAAGAGAAAGAAGGGTTCAGAAAGAAGGTCAAGATACGGTCCCCAAGATGGAAAGTTCATCCATGTATTTAGGTCTTGTGTGTTTTTCTTTTTTGTGGTTCTGGGGAATGAGGCCAGGGCCTTGCATATACTAAACAAGTGTACTGTCACTTGACTGTATCTCATATATATATATATATATATATATCTATTATATATATATATATATTTTTTGGTTTGGTTTCTGAGACAGAGTCTCGCAACATTTTTCAGAGCTGTCTTTGAGCTTGAGATCTTCCTGCCTCAGGAGTCAGAGTTGCTGAGATTGCAGGCATGTGCTCCTATACTATGCTTTGTGTCTATTATCTTTTTTTTTGTTTTTTTGTTTGTTTTTGGTCCAGTTGTGGGGCCTGAACTCTGGGCCTGGGCACTGTCCCTCAGCTCTTCAGCTCAAGGCTAGTGCTCTACCACTTGAGCCACAGCACCACTTCCGG